CCTCTATCTGGGGCCTTATTTACTCTCAGGGAACACCTATCATTAATGGCCCTCTTATGCTTAAATTCCTAAGAGGCAGCACTACTCCCAAAACAGGCAGCAGTTTTTCATTGTAGGGGACACCAAAATTCTGCAGATCCCATTGCTCATGGCAATGCCTTTGCAGATTCACAAGCCAAGTTAGATGCACAAAGGCCTTATCCTTCTCATCTTCTCCTGTTAGTCCCAAACAATCTACCTCAACCTAATTATTCACCAGAGCAGCTACAGTACTTCATAAACCAGGTTACACAAAAAACACTCAGGGATGGATTTTCCAGGGATCAAAACCTGTTCCCCCAGATCAGCAGTGACTTACACATCATCACTGACTTACACAACTGTTTCCATATAGGATCACAGGCCCTACACAGACTTTTAGCCCCAGTAGTTATGCATCCTTCTCTGAAGGCTATCATTCTTAAGATTACTCACACCTGTCATTTCTGTGCTAGGCCCTCTCCTCAGGGACATATAGCACCCCCTTCCTTTCCTACTCACCAATTTTGACCACACACCCCTGGTCAGGATTGGCAGGTAGATTTTTACACATATGCCCCACCACAAAACTCTCAAATACCTTCTCACCTTTGTTTGTACTTTGTCAGGATATATAGAAGCCTTTCCCACAACCAGGGAGACCGCTGATGTAGTTACTAAAGACCTATTACAGGAAATCATCCCAAGATTTGGTCTCAGAGTATTCAGTCAGATAACGGTCCCACCTTTATTTCTCAGATCACTCAACAGGTATCCTCAGGCTTACACAGCACCTGGCGCCTACACATTCCATACCATCCACAATACTCAGGAAAAGTAGAAAAGGCAAATGGCCTCATAAAAAAACACCTTACAAAGCTCACTTTAGAACTACACTAACCTTAGCCTCAATTTCTTCCCTTAGCTTTAGCCAAGCTCAGGGCACTTCCTGGGCTCCTACATTTTTAAGTCCTTTTGAACTTATGTATGGCAGGCCATTCTTACCCCACAATCTTCCTACTCCCCAAAATCTCCCTACTCTTGCTGACTATATCCCAATCCTCTCCTTCTTCTAATACCTGTTACGACAACATGCTGATCTCTGCCTTTCTCAACCCTCTGAAGGGGCCAAACCAGATCCTCCCATATCCCCAAGAGATCTAATTTATCTCAAATGTTCTAAATCCACAGGACTACAACCAAGGTGGAGTGGCCCCTACTTGGTCTCCTTGGCAACCCCTACAGCAGTCAAAGTTGCTGGACTCCCATCCTGGTTTCACATCACTCAGGCTAAATGGTGCCCTCCCAACCCTAAATCTAACCATCCTGAGTGGTCATCTCATCTTCTGTCACCCACCCATCTCCATCTCACCAAGGCCTAACAGCCACAACTCTCAGGCTGAGTCGTGTTTTGTTATCCAATTGGTTCCTAATTTCTTACATTCTATTAATTATCTTTTTTACAGCAGGACTCAACAGTCTTTCCTAAAGACTCCCACATCATGTGTTAAGACGTCTTCATGTTGTTCTACATGACAACTATCTTAGTTCTCTCTACCCTCAGCTGTTTGGTCAAATGTGACATCCCTGAAGGCCTAGGCTCTTACCTTTCTTATAGTGACACAGCCATGGCCATCCCCACCCTCCTATTCTTTCTAGTTCAACTCGTGGACCAGAGACATGTCCTACCTACCTACACTTTTAACTGTTACCCTTTCAGATGGAGGAATAATCACCTCTTATAACTTCACTCCTCCTAACCCCACACTTATTTTTCAGAATTCTACCTCACCATTGTAATCATAATGATTCTACCTCACCATTGTAATGATTCTGCATATCTAAATCAAAGGCACCTTTCCTTCTACCTCACCAGGGTCCTTAAATATGATAGTGGCCTGCCTCCTCTTAGCACTTGTCTCTTTGTTTTTCCAGTCTAAGGTGCAGGCATTCACCAGTGATAAAGTTGTTCTGGCTGAAACACTTGGCACCAGCATCTGCATGAGCATCAACCATCATCCCGTCAACCCTCTTGAACCCCAATACGGTGCTCCCTTTCAAGAGGAAGTAATAAGAGAGAGAGACTTCAAGACTTCACCTTTTTCCTAACAATAGGAGGATAGGAATGAAAGGATTTTGCCCTAGATAGAACATTAACAGCAGTGGGAGGTGGGACCAAGGGACCTTTACCTTGATCACCTTCCCCACCATTAGGCAACTTACCTGTGGTATGAAAAGAGTTCCAATCAGCTACTCGCACATCAACGATGACACTTTTAGGCACCGCCCCAGACCAAAGCTGTATGTATGCCCCCCACACCATGCATCCAGCAGAGAAAGCCAGACCCCCAGTGGTTGTGGGGTTCTCTCTGTGTTCTTAGAATAAAGGCCACTTTTATTTTATACTCTCTCTTTAACCAAGCCAAAAATCCTATCACCTTGGTTCCCATCCCAACCACTCAACCATTCAAAGATTTTAGTAGGCTCCCCTCACCAACAGCCTTACCTAGCACCAGGTGACCATATTTCCCATTAAACTCATAATCCATCACCCAGCACCTCAAGTAACAAAACATTAAGTACACCTCTGTTTTCACATGCAAATTTGCCTTTCCAGGGTATCTTTTAATTTTCTAGTAGTGCCTTTTCCAAGTGAGCTCTATAGACAAGTCTCCTGCAGCAGGGTAGCAGTTTGAAAAAAGTAAAGCGATTGGATATTGTCCCTTTAAAATATCATTCAATTAGGCCTTTTGTAATACATACAACATAACGAGATAGGCTTCCAGATTCTAAAGAAATTGCCAGTGCATTTCATCAAAGGCACAATAATGGAACCATCGATTCACTCCTCACCACAAACATCTCCCCTTGATGTTGCAGTTACCTTAATACCGGCACTTTTCATTCTCTCTTGAAGAAAACAGCTACCTCAATACATGCACATCAAAGAGGACTCCAGATTGAAAGAACACTTTTATAGCAATCTCAGCTACACTTGCATCTTCATTTGCTACTGCATAGCATCACCCTCCTTGACTCTACACCATTAAATTACCCCACAAATAAAGAAAAACTCCACTGCATCCAAGCTTACCGGAACTAGGTGTTTTATGCCATCTCTGCAAACATTATCCTCCTTGCATCATTTATTTAAAAGAAGAATGGCCAGGCACCAGTTAGAAAGTTTATGGGTCTGAAGGACATTCAGCCACTTCTAGCAAAGGATGTCAACCAGAAAGACCACCTAAGGAGTAATAAATCTGGAAATGTTCAGTATGATTAGGAAAATCCATCAATACCCACTGCCACATTTCCAAATATTTTTCCTAAGTGAACAAGCAACCATCAAGTCTGAAAGAATTTTGAAGGCATTATATCCACGAGAGTACTTCAGGAGTAATGCCCCAGAAGTTCAGCGCTGTGAAAATGAAGGATGAAGATCACCTGGGTCAGACATAAGGAATCCAGCATTTGGTTTGCGAACCTCTTGGTAGGAGGCTGCTGCCTCTAACCCAGCTTTTCCATCTAAAACAAAATAGTGTAATTATAAAAGTTTTGAGCTTTACCTAAATAAATTAACATCCAACTATTTAATAACATCCAAATAATTTATTTTTTCAAAATAGCTTTGGAATGTCTGGCTATATTAAGCATCTAAACTTGCAGGCTCTCTGACATTTGGCTAAGTCTTTCATACAATATCCACTTGATGCCATGAAAGAAATATATTTGCAAAGGCTTTTCCTCTGCAAATGTCATGTGGGTGTCCTCAGGGGATAGCACTGAGCACCTGGTGCCCACAATAAGACTCTGTGACTGAGAGATATAAAGGTTATGTTGAAATTATTGTTTAAAGGTGCTGACATCACAAACACAAAATTCACAATCACGTGTTTGAATATATACTGAAAAGCAACTATTTTAGGATTTATCAGCACAGAGCAAAGCATCTGTTTCAACAATGGTTGAAACCATGGTTATCCTGTGAGCATCTCTACGCGAGACAGTGCTTTCAATTATCTGTTCCATTCCACCAATTGATTCTCCATTACTACACAATAGCTTGGCATCCGTATGAAGGTTCCTGAGAATGCAGGAAATGGAATAAAGAATAATCTTGAGTTCCTTTTCTCAAGGATAAATTGATCAAATATAATGGATTTATTTCCGTTGCATGTAAGTATTCATCTACTAATTCGCCTGCCATGTATTTAGAGAAGGAAATCCAGTGATGGATAGGGACAGTGGATTAGGAAAAGGACACTATCCAGATTCTCACTTTGCAACTAGATGGACAGAGCTCAGGAACAGTAGGAGATAGCCACACTGGGACCAGAGCAGGAGTTCACTGGGGCTTATGCTGCATCTTCAGAAGCACACAAGAGACAATGCCAAGTACACAGTTGAATACATGGGTGTAGAGCTGGAAGAAGAGGTTTTATTGATCTATCATGCCTTAAATATATTTTTAGGAATAACAGAGTGGACCTGTTATTCCTGGACCTGTTATTCACTGAGACTCTGCATTCATCGTTAAACTGAAACCAAAGGTATTTCACAGAATGGAAACAGCGCAGTATGAGACAAGACACTCCAGACTCAGAGTCTGACAGCATGCGTTCCAATGCCAGCTCCTCCCTCTGGCCACTGATGACTCTGCACAAGCACCTCAGCCTTTCTGAGGCTTTGCTGATGGTAGCCACTATAGTTAGCAACACCCTCTCCTGATTACCTCATGGTACTGTTTTAAATGGGGTCCAGTGAGCAAAATACTAAAGAAAGTCATTTTAAATCTGAAAAATGATTTTAAAAAACCACTGCCAACAAAATAACATACGCTTGCCTATCTGCCATGATACTTAAGAGTAGAAAGGACAGCTCACTGCTGCAGAGGAAGAATGATAAAATGCCACTGGTTCCCTTCAAAATTTCCCAAAGTGAGCCTGGGGTGACAGATACACTTAAAAGGGTTATTTGTTCACCTTTTGATCCAGACTGTACGCCAGCACCCAGTCCTCTTGCTTGGGGTGGAAGAGCAGGCTCTGGATGTAGAAGGTGAGCCGGTACTTCTGATAGGTGGCCCCTTCATCTGAGCTGATCAATATGCTGCTCTCCACCTCAGGATCGCTAAGAAGCATGATCTAATGGAAAGAGAGAGGAGAAATATAGGCAGAATGAGTTGGACAGAATATAAGAAATTAAACCAGAAATATATGAAGTCATCTGGGTTAGCCTATTCTAGTGCAGACAGGCAGCTAAACCTCTATATGAAATATCAGTCTATTGTTCTTTTCCCATATTTAGTTTTTCATTACTGAATTAAGCCAAAAGAGGTAAAAGCCAGGTCGGAACATCAAAGGAGACTTTTATTTTTGACGTTCATATTTGAAATGCTGAGAGTGTATTGTTACGACCCTCTGTGCCCTAAACTAGGCTGGCCTCATACCAACTCTCCTCCCACCCTCCCTCCCACCCCTTTTTTTTTTTATTTAAGGAGAAAAAGGAAAAAAACAGAAAAAGGGTACAAGTAATACAAAATTTTAAAAAAACAGTAAGAAATCACTAGTTAATAGATTACATATTCTCATCTTAGAAATAGTTGTTCAAGTTACATTATTGAAGCATATAAAGTGGACTTTCAAACAGTGAGAGTGCAAACAGTTTTGTTCAATGATCCAAAAAACACTCAGTAATATGGTTATCTATCTTATACACTTAAACATATATGCAGTTATAACCTTTAGAGCACTTTCTTTTCTTTTCTTTTGTACAATGACAATTACACATTTTGGGCTTTATTATTCCCACAGTTCTTATTACTTTTTTTGAAGAGAGTAAAACCAAATGCGACATATCAGAACAGAGTCAGTCAAATCAAAAGGATGGACATAATAGATAATGTAAAAACAAAATATAAGATGATCAACAATGGTTACCATACTGCCTCTTGCTATTTTAAGAAGAATTGGCAGTTATAATAAAATTGAACTAAGCAGTAAAGAATAAAACCAAAGCATTGGAGACATTACAGGAGGGATTAATAGTCAACCGGAATGGGTGTCATAATGATTCTTATTGACTTCACAGTTATGCATATACTTTCGAACTTGGTACTATCAAGCAAAGCAGAATAGAGGAAAATCAGTCAAAACAAGATGGTGAGGGCAATACAGGATTTCAAATAAAGTTAATAGGAAATCAAAGTAGGTTACTATAATGTATCCTGCTATTTTTTATTTATTTTTTCCTTAATTAAAAAAATAAAAAGAAAAAAGTAAATAATTCAAAAAAATGGGGGATTGAGATAAAAGAGGGCATAACAACAGAACAGTGCAGGTCAAATCATAACCATTTGAGCAAAATAGTGTTTCACCACAAGATATCCTGACATAAAACTAGTTACCATAGTGTCTCTTTCCTTGAAATCTTTGAGTATAACTTCATATACTGTAGCACCAAACATATCAAGACACTATAAAACCATTCAAGAGAATGACATTATTACAGGGTATTTAGGACCAATTAACAGAAAATGAACAATAGTTTCTATATAAACTCCTTGTCTATAAAAGTTTTTGCTTATATTATCATATATAATAAAATCCAATAAGATACAACCTTTTAAGACCAATAGAGACAGAAGAATACAAGTTCGATGGGACTTCAAAACAAGATAATACAAAATCAGCACTAGCTATTATGATGTCTTGTTTTCTCCAAAATAGCTGTTCCTACCTTTTGATCTTCTCTGCCTCATTTCTGTTGAGCTTTTTTTCTGTTGTTGTCAGTTTGTCTTCTTCATTTTGTTTTCTGCTCCATTCATTGTGGCCTCTCTGCCACTATTTCTGGAATCTTGGTATTTTCCTTTTTTAGACTATCCTGCAGTATTCTCTGTAGAGTTGAATTAGTGGTTGCAAATTCCGCGAGTTCCTCTTTATCCTGGAAGCACCTTGTTTTTCCATCAATTTCTAGGGACAGTTGTGCAGGATATATCAATCTTGGCTGGAGGTTATTATCTTTCAAAGCTTGAATTATTCCCCCCGCTACGCTCTTCATGATTTGATGGTTTGTGCCGAGAAGTCTGCTGTAATTCTGATGGGTGTTCCCTTGTAAGTGATCCATTTCTTGTCTCTGATGGCTTTTAATATTCTGTTCTTATATTGGATTTCTGGAATTTTGATTATTATATGCCTGGGTGTAGCTCTTTTTGGGTTGTAGGTGGCTAGAGTCCTGTATGCCTCATACATCTGAGTATCTTTACCATTTGCTAAATTAGGGAAATTCTTTTGGATTATTTCTGTGAATAGCTTTTGTAGTCCATTTGTTTGTGTCCCCACTTCTTCTCTTATGTTCTTAATTCTTAAGTTATAGATCCTCTTATAATCTTCTAGCTTTTGTATTGTTGCTGTTTGGTTTTTTTTTTTGTTGTTGTTGTTATTTTTAAGAAGTTTTTCATTTCATGCTTCCATATTACAAATCTGCCCTCCAGTTCAGATAATCTATTCTTAGTTTCTTTTAAGCTGTTATGCCAGTTTTCAATAGAGTTTTTAGTTTCCTGGTAATCTCTTTGAATCTACTTCACATATTCTATGCTTTCTCTATTTTCTCCATCAAACAATTCTACCCTTTCTTTCTGTTCTTCCATTCAACCATCTGTTTTTTCTTGGGCAGTGCTTAGCATTTCTCTAACTATTCTGCTTATGTCTTGCTTCAGGCCATTAATAACTTCATTCCTGAACTCATCTATGAGGCTCTGGAGATAGCGCTTTATATCTATTGGTGCTGTGTCTGCTATTGCATGTTTCTCAGAATTGGGGGCTGAGGACCCTTTCCTGTGCTCCCTCTTTCCATATTCTTTGTTCCTTATATATAAGAATATATAGGAGCCCCAGCTTCCTTCCCTGTCAGGTACAGTCTGTTTGAATTGCTCCGGCTAGGTGTTCCTACCCACTGCAGTGCACCAGCAAGACATAGACCTGGGCAGTCTATGCCAGGCCCACCCCTCCAGGTCAACCTACCAAAGGCTTCACTGCTAGGGTGCACCTCCAGGCACTGTGATCTGGGTTGGCCTACTGGATCTCAGCCAGCAGCATCTCGCAGGCCAGGCACTCGCCACCAATCCCGCTTGAGAGGGGGATATGTGACTGAAGTCACTGCAGCATCTCGTTCTGGGAAGTCTGCCCCGTCAGAGTATGTCCTCCACTGAAGCCTCCTTCTCTATGGAAGGGTTCCCATCTGCTCACTCACCACAGGTCGATGCAGGGCACCCAGCCATCCCCGCTCCCAATTCCATTCAACGCTTCCCACTCTCTGAGCTTTCGCACCTCTCTCCCTGCTGTGCCAACCAGGACACAACAGTGGCTGCAGGAAATTCAGATCGCAGTTTCCAGTGGCATGAGGTCTGGCTTCCATGCTGAGACCTTATCTGTTCCTGCTGTATCACTGGGATTGCGTTCCTAGTTGGTTTCTCTTAATTTAGTTCATTCCTGGGTGGGCAAAGAATATCCGCCCCCCTTGCCTAGGACTTCCTGCCTGGCACAATTCCTGGATTTCAAGTGTGGTTTCTCAGAGAGCCTCCGAGCCTGCTGCTATCTATCCGCCATGTTCTTCTGGACTCCCATTTCTCTTTTTTTAACTATTAAATTCTAAATTGTGAAGCTAGAATATATTCATCAGTATGAACAGCACCAGTTGCTTCCTTGAGAGTTGCTGAGAAGCGCTGGAGTCTTCCAGGACTTTTGTTGTCTTCTCTCCCTCCACCCCTTAATTCTCCCCACAGTTCATTAGTCAAAGGGAGGTTCAACACCCTCTGACAGCACCCCATTCTTTCTTTCCTTCTGAGGTATTCTGGCAATTCTATGATTTCTTTATACAGATATTTTCCAAAATACATATTCCCAATTACTTGAACAAATGCTGCTTCCAAAGGAGCCTTGGTGGTCACCAAACCAAGTTAAATGGACAAAATTACCCAGAAAGGAAGCTTTGGCATCAAAATGAGCAGGTTCACATCTCAACTATTCTCTGTTCCTAGTATGTCACCTCAGGAAAGTTACTTAAAGTCTAGAAGCCTCAGTTTCCCCAATCACAATGAGTATGCTGTTACCCACACTGGCTGCTGCTGATGTAGTGTGTATTCTTAAGAAAAGATTCCTGTGATTACTACTGCAGCTTTTCCATCCAACCAGTGCAGTGTGGCTTCCACCCACAGTACTTTGATGACATCTGTCTCACTCAGGAATGACCGGCTCTGCGGGCTTCCCGCCTGAGTGGACACTCAGACACTCTCGCCTCACTCTCAGTTAAACCCTGAGCAGTCTTTGAGGTCATGGCTCCATTCCTCCAGCAGCACTTCTTCCAGGGGCTTCCACGACCACACGCATTACATTTTCCTTCCTGCTTCTTTTGAATGCTCTAAACTTATCTGATTTTTCTTTAAATATGGCCCCTCTGCCACCCTGTTCATGTTCTCTTTTTACTCAGTGAGCTCCAGTTCTTGACTCCTTTCATTCCACTGCAACCCTCCTCTAGGCCATCGGTCTCCGAGCCTGTGAGTTTTACCTAATTAACTCCAGTATCAAATCCCTTGTGTCCCTCCCTAGTCTACTTGTCTTGGTCTGAAATGGGATCCTCTGGGTTACTGTGAGACCCTCTCATCAATGTCACCCTGCCACCCTTGTTCCCTCAGATCCACTCTGCATGCTGTGACCATCCTATATCACAAAACCAAATGCTCTCCTCCATGAAACACACAATGACCCAACACTGATTTCCCTCTTCCAAAACCCTTACCCAGCCTGATAAGAAGTCTGGTCCCTTCTAGTGTCTCTGGTTTCAGCAAAAGCCCTGACCTTTTGTACTATATTACCTTACCCTACTAGAGTTCCTTGAATTCCTAATGCTTGCTGAGTGACTGAATGAACGTGTGTATTAATTTCCTGTCAGTATCTTTCTGGTCTTTGGGTACACTGCTACCAATTATTAGGGATAATTCTATCACATGGGCAGAGCCATGGAGCCTGAAGTATAAAATAAAGTCAAAAAAACATTTTTCCCTCCCTATAAAAGTATTAGCTAGCAGGGTTTTTAAAATGTTGGAGCACATATTAGTATTATTATAAAGTAAGCTTTAAAACAAATT